AAGCAGCAGCAAGTGGAAGAGAAATAAATTAGACAGCAGAGACTTGGAAAAAAGCTTGGAACCAAAGTCATGGATGGGAATACCCCCCCCCCACAGGTGTTGGTTCTGTATCTGAACTCTCCATCTTGTGCCCAACTCTAATCATTACCAGTTTCTTTTTAAAAACCTGTGCCTGAAAGAACTGATGTGTTATGAGACAGCCGTGACCTAAGTCAACTCCAAACAAATCATTCATCACTGCAAAACTCCAGAACAAGCTGGTACTTTCTCAGAGAACAGTGTTCTTCTAAATACACATTATACATAAAGAGGAAACAGAAAGCACATACTGTAGGCTTTCATCAGTTGTACACAAACAAAGCCTTTGATAACTCTCTGAATGGGCTTGAGATCATTACGCCTGGGGCCAAGAGACTCTCAGTAGTTTAAGATCTCATTTTCCAAACTTTTGGTCAAAAGGGTCTTTTTAAGTGCAGGGGAGAAAGGAACACTTTTTCCTTGAATATCGTTATGTTCACAATACCCCTACTCAAATCCTTACATGCACTATCTTTTTCCTTACCAAATTCAAACTCCACAACCTCAAGGTCTGGAGCAGGAGGTGCATCACCCACATCAACAGCCACGTTTTCTGTTACCCATGCTTCCCTTTCATGGCCCACATTGTTCCTGGAACAGTTGGCCTTTTCCAGTTCCCTAGTTCTTTCTTACCTTCCTGTCACTCAAATCTATCAAACATGCTGTGCTAAATATTTTTTGTTTTGCCTTTTTAAATAAGCTACTTAAAGACATGAAAAGATTCTTATGCAGATCCATGAATGTAACTAGAGGACCAAGGAAATGTCCACTGGTTTATGTTCTGCAGCTCACACCACAATGCAGTTAATGCCATGCTTTTGGTTTAGAGGCACACCAACATGCGAGAACCATGCAGTTAATTTAGGTTAAAAGAGGGTGCCCATTCTAAAGAGGAACAACTACTTTTAAATAACGGAGTGCTTTTATTCCAGAAAAAGTGTTTTAGTGTAACCAGCTTAATCTAGTCACTATTTTCAACTCCTTTCCCTTTGAAAGCAAACCCTAAATCAGTCTGAACTACTACGGACACAAATCTGTCTTATTCTACCTTATTCTTTAATGTGGTGGTTTTGTTTTAGCTACTTTAGCAGCTTCGGATAATAAAGTAGTAAAAATGTTATGCATTCAATTTATTATCACATTCTATATAAAAATTAGGAGAAGCAAACTTTTCATCAAGGTATTTGGACTTTTGGCTCCTACATTAGTACCCCAGGCCCAAAGGTTTCTTTTTCTTTAGAAGTGTTTTGTAATAACGAGTAAACAACAGAAATGTACTTAACACTGTAGTATCCTGTAATTCACATTAGCAGCTGCACAAATAATTACAGCCCTTCCCAGGTAAAACCTCACTAATTTAAATGAGTTTTCCTGAGCAGGGAAGGATTGAAATCCCTCTGATAGGGAGATAACAGAAGCTTTTACAAGTGTTAAAACACAGTCTGATCCCTAGGGTATACAAATGCTACCTGCTGATGACTGAAAGAGCATGATTTTCAGACTCTGGATCAAATTCTATTGAATTTTGACTGGTATTTTCCTACATGTATTGAACAGAAAGGGGTCACTTTTACCCTGACCAGGTAACCTTTGCAGCATTCCAGTGTTTGTAGGAGGGTTCTAACAGGCCATGCTTTTTAAGATCAATCAATTCCCTTTCCCTGCCTCCAATTCCCTGTTTTGTAAGAGGACAACTTACCAGCAAAATTTGATTCAGCCCCTTACAGAAAACAACATCAGCTGTTAATTTGTGAGCCAGGCCTAGGGAACATGACAGGTTTTTGGAGCCAGATCTTTGTTTCTGTCTAGTCAAGGGGTGTCTAAACATGGAATCACATAAAACAGGGCCGGTAGGGACTGATGGCATCATCTATGCCATCTCCTAATCTCCAGGTGGGACCAGTTTTGCCTAAACAATTCTTAGCAGCTATTTCTCTGACTTATTCTTAGGAGACTCCATTGATAAGTTCCCATAACGCCTCCATGAAATTATTAGAAAGGTTCTGTTACATCTGACATGCATCTCCAGTTAAAGACATTATTACTACTTCTATTTTTCAGGCAGTAAAGATATAATAAATTACTAAATCTGGTAGTATATAAATTTACATTTGCTTTACTTACTCCTGATAGCAATTACTCTTTCTGCAAAAGTAGTTGAATAGTGGCATGTAATTTAGGACTTGCCCTATACTACTGCAGCAGCTGAGCCCTACAATATCACAACACTCATTTTTTTTTATGTGTTTGGGGTTCTTTTCCCACCAGAATTGAAACAAAAGTTGTCATACATTCCCCATAACAAGGTTCTAATTTTAGGCAGTCTGGAGGGGAAGATCCTAGGAAGGCAGCAACATCCTTGAACTTGCAACAGTAGGAATAATTTTTGGTGCCTAATGTTGCCGTGAATCATTCTGAGCCACAGAATGTCACTTCCAAACTAAAGTTTTCTCTTTTTGGTCATACTTCAGGAAGAAAATACGGTCAGTTTTCAAGGTACTCAACCATTTCTGTCAAGTTATCTAGACTGTCTAACAAAAGCTAATTTACAATGGGAGGCGTCTACAACAGGCGCCATTAAGTCTAGAACCAGGAGACTGACTTCTCCCTGGGCATCAATTTAACAAGATTATGATGTAGAAGGGTACTGTACTTCTGTGTGAAGTACAAGGTTTTTTATCCCAAGAAATTATTTTCTATTCCTCTTAGCTAATGCACAGTGAAGTTTTTCTAACCACTGTTCTTAAGGGAAGGCAAGAAAACTTAATATATAGACATTTGCAAGTAAGTAGCTAGTGCCTCTTTTTTAATTCACCTTCAAATCAAGAAGGATTCTAATTAAGATGAAATAACGGATTCATCTTCCTCATGCTGTTCCCTAGCAGAGTTTTGTAAGTGTAACAGTAAGTGCATAACAAATAATGTATTTGTGTGGGAGAGAGATCTAAGGCATTCTGAAAATGTGTAGCAAATAAGATTGGTTTCTGTACACAAAAGCAGAAAAATCAAAGCTTGCCTCTCCCTATTACTTCAAATTACAAATAAATTACTTCTCAAGGTTTTTCTTCTTACTTGACTAATTCCCAGTCTCATACAGATGCTACATAACCAAACACTAAAATCCTTTCAATGTGTTCAAAGACAAAAGCTATCATTATTATTCCTTGACTGGACAATTAAATGTGACACGAATAAAGTGAGAGTTTCAACATTTGAAGGTTGTAATCTTAAAGAGAATATAAAATTTACTATCAACACAGTCCATCACAGACCAACATTGCTCGGTTTGTTTGCTTTTGGGGGGTTGGTTTGGTTTTTTCGGGTTTGGTTGGTTTTGGGAGTTTGGGGTTGGGGGGGAGGAGAATCTGCTACCAGACTCCAGGTGCTATCTTTTCTCTTTTCTATTTCAAGGTTATTGAAAGGAGAAGGAAATAGCAGGGAACAGTCCTTAATCTAACTGGAGCCAAACTACAGGATCAGTCTGGAAAGTTTTGAATTTTAGATTCTCCTTAGTGAATATTTTTAAGACAAAATGAACCACCTAGGAACCAAGAACATTACTAAAAAGTAAACAAACACGTTTTCATAGAAGATGAACCTAAAAGATTGTGAATGCAATAAAACTGCATTGATTTTCTTAATACAAATAATAATTATTCAGTTTTCTTAATGTGCATTCTTTGTTTAGGTATTTTTCTTAGATCAAACTTAGATCAGAATTTTTTTTTTCTTAGATCAAACTGTGATCACATACTGACCTGCTCAAATGTGATTCAGGTTCACTAGAGCATAGATCCACAAAGCTATAAAGTCACATATTTTCCAGATAAAATAACTGTAGTTCGCTTCTGGTTTTACCAAGTCTTCCTTGGTACATGACAATATCTTAAGTCTTATGAATAACATTGCTTTTTTCTGGCTGCAACGTCAGTTGCTCTCATACTGATAAATGTTAAATATTAATTTAGGGATCTATCTTACAATCTGTTCATAACTTAGTAGAAAGACCAACTTCCAAAGATATTTATATGCCTAAGGAAGCCAACAGGGATGGCTGGGAGAACTCAAAAGAATAGGTTTGTGTTGCACTCTGCCAGTGCTTGGGCACACTGAAAATCCCACCACCTGCAGCTAAGTGCCTCAGAAAGCCTACCTCTTGTCATAAAAGCCCCTTCTGTGCAAGCTGGTGTGGATGGGTACTTATGGGTGTGCTGTACCAGAAACCAGCAGGCCAAAGAGGAGAAGAACATGCTGAGAAGTACATGAAAACTGCTAAGCTCTGGAGACTAGTGGACCTGCTGAATCCATGAGAATGGATAAAAATCAAAACACCAAAAATCAGTCAAATCTGCCGAAGGCCACCAGCACACACTAACACCAATAAGAATGTATGTAACTTAGAACACATCAATGAAGGCAGAGCCTACTATGATTAGACAAAGACTATAGGATCATATGCACACACAATAAACCAAAGGATCCTCTGGGTACTTCCTGAACACCCACCCAGAAGTCACTGCTGGACCAGTAATGCTTTCCACTTGTGAGTAAACAAGTGTGCCTGACCTCCCAGCTGTTGCTCCAACCACATATTATGAGCAAGAGTGAGTGTGAACTGTGTGAGGGAATAATTGCATATACTGTGTGAACAGTTATCTGCTATTTATAATAATAGAACCAAACTGTTGTTAAGACAGCTGAATTAATAAAAGGTGTTCTAATTAATAGTGGTTGTGATCTGTGTCTCCCCCAACTCGATCCCCTATCAGGAAAAAAGGAATTTATAGCACTCCTTGTTCTGGTGCTCACTATGTGAATGGCTCTACTTCTCCTCAAGAGGAGCACGCACTGGTAGCATGCCCATACAAGCTTTGATGGGAAGAAAACAAACATGTTTTGTTATTTTAAAATACTTACCTGGTAGGGATATAGAGTGACTCCATTCGTTCTTGACAAAGACCAGGTGCCATCAAGGTACTGATGAGCCTGGATAGCCACAGAGTTGAGAACGTTGCCATTGCTGGGGCTGGTGGCCATTTGAAAGCTGACCTTGGCTTGGTGTCCAGGAGAGCCATTTTTCTTCTCCACCCCATTGACGATTCCGAGGCTGTTGGGTTTTCCACTGTGTTTGTTGGCAACAAAGCCTGTATAATTAGATGTAGCATAAGGAGCAGGCATGTATGCCCAGTCCCTGGGCTGCAGGCTGCCCATGTGCCGGGGACTCACTAACGTGGGGATATTGGAGAGAGGTGGGGGAGAGCCTGGTGAGGCATCGTAATGTTCTGAGTTGGCAGCCTGCTCTAAGGTCAGCACCATCTGAATGGCCTCTTGCTTCAACTGGTTCAGGTGCGTGGCACAAACATCACATCTGTTGTCCTTCTCATTCCATGCCTTACGAATGGTATTGGGAACTTGGAGTTTGTCATGAATCACTAAAGAGAAACCTGGGTCCTAAAAATCAAACAGAGAAGGGAAGGGGGGAACAGGAGAGAAATGTTTAACCATGGTCACCACAGTGAAATATTATTACTGCTGATTGTGCATTTCAAAAGCCAATTTATGAGATAAGCTTAGTATGCAAACAAAGGCCATTAGATACAGTCAACATATGGCAGCAGCAGAGCTGAACAAAAATGAGAACCTAGATTGTGTTGGAAAGAAAAAATTCTTTTACTTTTACTGATAAATGGCAAATATTATAATTCCACTGCAAGCTTCAATGCATGGCAGAGAGAATGAATTAACCTGTTTCACACCACTGCACCTAATTTCTGGCTTGAATGAAATGTACTCTTAGTTACACAGGTGAGATCAAGAGCAACTCCACTAAAACCAGCCAGCTTGTGGCAAGGTTCATAAATCTATTTACTCATCAGTGCCAGCTTTTGATACTCAGAAAATCCAGGAAATACTCTGCAACAAAAATGTAAAATTTCAAAGCCTGCCTATAAATTAAAAAAGAAAAAACAGAAGTACCATCACTCTCCCAAATTCCTTTCCAGAATTCAAAATAGATGGATATTTGATGAAGTCTTCAAGAGCTTTTCAGCATTTGATTTACCAAGAATACACTTTTCAGCCAGGAAAAAAAACCCTTTCTGTTAATGAAATGTTCTACCACTATTTTGGGTATCTACTGACAACGTAAAATAAAACAATAATTTTATTTAGAAAATAGAACATGTATAGGGTCAATAATTTGTAATGATAATTAATAGTTTTCTTCATAGAAAGCATAGTTTTGGTGCAAAACCACGTGATCAGGTTTAAAACCCTCTCACCTCATATCCTTACCTCACACACGTAGATCTTTGAATGTTAGTGGTGCTCTCCACAGAGCAATATGCCACCCTGATCTGACTACAGTCATTGAATGCTGGCCTAAATTGCAAAGTCCTTCAGTAAAGCTTCACTTTGGCTGTGAAACCACCAAACAGCAGGCTTAGCAGGGGCTTATTACCAAACTTGCCTAGTTCTTATAGTATCATGCAGTTTTAAAAATGTACACCAATGATGTGTGTGTGACACAGAGCAAATAATGACATTTATGTGATGGAAATATTTCTTGCGCAGTTACGTGATGGAAACATTTCTTGGAAATTTCACATGACATTTTTGTGGTTTTACAGCAAGGCAGGACAGACTTCACCTTTCCTTCCTTAAGTTTTGGAGACTTACTGGTGGATTTTCTTATGACTACTAAAAAAGTTTTACAATCAGTAGTATCAAAATCTGTTTGGTTTGTTGGTTTGTTTTTTTGTTGGGTTTTTTTT